TATTTGTTAAAGTTCATCAAGTTGTTCATAAGTTGTATTTATTATGTTTGTTATCATTTATTCTTATTCCCCAACCCCTTAACCTAACCTCTTGTAATCTTAGTGTATTTGGTAGGTTCTATCATATGTTCTTATTCCCCAACCCTTTAACCTAACCTTTCAGATGTAGTTTATTGTGTTTTTTGACGTATTTGTTGAATATATTATCCTTTTCCTAACCTTTCAGATGTAGCTTTGTTTCTCCTTTGTATATTTTTACCCAAACCCACCATCCCACTTAACCTTCTTAAGTTAAGATTAACTTTTATGATTTACAGAACATCTTTGATGTCGTAGATAACAACATTGATGTCTTAGAGAACAACTTTAATGTCTTAGAGAACAACATTGATGTTTAGAGAACAACTTTGATGACAGGATTAACTTAGATGTCTCTGAGAATAACTTTATAACATAGAAATTAACTTTAGATGGCTCTGAAAATATCTTTGATGACTTCGAGAATAACATTTGATGTCTCTGAGAACAAGTTTGATAGCTCTGAGAATAACTTTAGATGTCTCTGAAAATAACTTTGATGAAAGAAGATGTCTGAGAATAACTTTTGATGACTTTGAAAACAAGTTTGATGAACAAAGATGTTTTGGAAAGTTTCTCTGAAGAACGAAAGGTGACTCTGAGAATAACTTTGATGAGTTTGAGAATGACTTCTGAGAACAAGAGTAGTAATTGAATGTATCTTTGATGTATTGAAGAGTAACTTTGATGACTGTATTTAACTTTTATGTCTTAGAGAAGAGCATTGATGGCTTAGAGAGAATATCTTTGATGAAAGATGATGTCTTATAATAACTTTGATGACTTTGAGAATGACTTCTGAGAACATGGGTAGTATTTGAATGCGTCTTTGATGTAATGAAAAGTAACTTTGATGTCTTAGAGAATAACTTTGAGGAGTTAGAGAATTAATATGTTGAACGAAAGTGAGTTAGAGATTACCTTTGTTAACTCTGAGATTAACTTTCATGTCTCTGAGAATAACTTTTATGCCTCTGAGAATAACTTTTATGCCTTAGAGATCAACTTTGATGAGCAAGATTATCTTTAGATGTCTCTGAGAATAAATTTTATGTCATAGAGAATAACATTTGATGACTTTGAGATTAACTTTTGATGTCTCTGAGAATAACTTTTATGAACAAAAGTGAGTTACAAAAAAACTTTGATGACTCTGTGAATAACATTTGATGTCTTTGAGAACAAGTTTGATAGCTCAGAATAACTTTGTGGACATGAGATTAACTTTAATGAACAAAGACGTCTTAGAAAGTTTCTCTGAAGAATGAAAGGGTACTTAGAGAATAACATTTGATGACTGAGATTAACTTTTGATGACTCTGAGAATAACTTTGAGGATGCGAGTAAATTTTTGAGTGTTTGAGAGTGTCTTTTGATATCTCGAAGAGTCCCATTGAAGTCTTAAAGGATGTCTTTGATGTCTCAAATGATGTCTTTGAGTGCAACTTTGATGTCTTTGAGTAAGTCCTTGATGTATTGAAGAGTGTCTTTGATTTCTCGAAGAGTAACTTTGGTGTAACGGAGAGCACCTTTGACTATTTTTCTTACTTAGCGACATATAATTTTAGTTACGAAAGTGTTGAAAAAGTTACATTTGACTATTTTTAGTGCTCCACAAAGTATAAATGTCAGTTAAGAACGACGATGATAGATATCTTTGACTATATTTTCTTACTTGACGATGGATAAAGTTAGTTATGAACAGTGCTGAAAGAAGTTTCCTTTGACAATTTTTAGCTAAGCGAAAGGTTGTTTTAGTTAAGAACGGTGTTGAAAGAGGCTACACATGACTATTTTAAATGAGAGAAGTGATATTTCAGTTAAGAAATGACAAGGAAACATGATGAACTAACTATTTTTAGTTGACCGATGATTACTTTTAGTTGAGCAAAAGACAAAACATGATGAACATGACTTTTTCTGATGATTGGCGGAGAATTTTAGTTATGAAATGACAATGAAACATGAAGAACACGGCTATTTTCTGATGACTGGGGAATAAGTTTAGTTAGGAAATGATGAAAGTTATTATTTTTAGTTGAATGACGATGGGTAAAGTTAGTTATGAACAGTATTGGAAACGTTTCCCTTGACTATTTTTGCTAAGAGAAAGGTTATTTTAGTTAAGAACAGTGATGAACGAGGCTATTTCTGACTATTTTTAGTTGACTGGATAATAAGTTTAGTTGAGAAATGAGGAAAGTGACTATGTTTTTTAGTTGATTGGCGAAAGATTTTTTTAGTTATGAAATGACAATGAAACATGAAGAACACGGTTATTTTCTGATGACTAGGGAATAAGTTTAGTTATGAACAGTGTTGGAAAGATTCCTTTGACAATTTTTGGTTGATTGGATAATAAGTTAGTTGAGAAATGAGGAAAGTGACTATGTTTCAGTTGATTGGCGAAAGATTTTTAGTTAAGAAGTTACAAGAAAGGTTTGTCTTTGTAAATTTGGAACTGAATAAAGTGTAGATTTGTTTAAGAACATGGCTGGTAGAACTATTAAGTTGACAACGAGAATTACTTTGATATAGTTTTGAAAATAAAACTTGGTGACTAAAATTGTTGAGGGAACTGTATTGCTGATGCTAATATTTGACAAAGAACTAGTTTCTGAGTATAAAAGTTATACAGAGAACATATGATGTACGTAGAAAATATGACTAGAATTTGTAGAGAACATAATGAGACTAAGAGAAAGATTACAGAAAAAATGAGAAAAAACAGGTGAAAAGAATTGAACTGAGCATGCTGTGAACATTTGTAGAACATGGAATGAACACAGAAAACATGGACAAAATGTGGAGAACGCAGCTGAATATAGAGAAAATATGCAAATACAGGGGGACAAGAGCTGGAGCTCTGTAACTGACTTGATCTTATTTACTACGTCTGAAATATGACTGTTTAAAATTTAAGGGGGATTGGACTGCTAGTAGCGAAAATGTGGTCTCTGCCAAATTTGGGTCTTTAATTAGTCTCTGATTAATTTCGATCATGAACTGGACTCTGAATATTTTGGCACAAAGTAGACTCTGGCGAATTTTGCTAGAAAACTGGACTCTGATGAATTTCGATCAAGAACTGGACTCTGTCAAATTTTCACAGATTACAGGACACTGATGAAATTTGCTAGAAAACTGGACTCTGATGAATTTTGCTATTAAAGTAGACTCTGGCGAATTTGAGCATAAACTGGACTCTGACGAAAATTGGGTATAAAATGGACTCTGTCAAATTTTCACAGATTACAGGACACTGATGAAATTTGCTCTCAAAGTAGACTCTGGCGAATTTCTGTTGATAATTGGACTCTGATGAAATATGAGCTTAAAACTGTCTCTGACTAATTTTGCTCTCAAAGTAGACTCTGTTCATTTTTAGGTATAAATTGGACTCTGATGAAATATGAGCTAAAACTGTCTCTGACGAATTTTGCTCTCAAAGTAGACTCTGGCGAATTTGAGCATAAACTGGACTCTGCCGAAAATTGGGTATAAAATGGACTCTGTTAAGTTTTCACAGATTACAGGACACTGATGAAATTTGCTCTCAAAGTAGACTCTGGCGAATTTTCGGTATAAACTGGACTCTGATGAAATATGAGCTTAAAACTGGGCTCTGTTCAATTTTGGTCTTTACAGATGAAATAGCCGTAAATGGATATAAAACTAAATGTTATGGATAAGTTGTCTGTTTTCCTTAACAGAACATCTAAGACAATATTCGCTGAAAATGGTCCTTTTACAAATTCGGTCATAAACATATAAATAAACTTCTATGATTATTTGAAACTCTGAAAATAGCTGTAAGGAAATAGGAGGAGAGAGAGAGAGGAGGGACGGTCCAGATATTATGGAGAAGAAGGAGAGAGAGAGAGAGAGGAGGGACGGTCCAGATATTATGGAGAAGAAGGAGAGAGAGAGAGAGGAGGGACGGTCCAGATATTATGGAGAAGATAAGATATGATAAGAAGCGACTGGCTGGCCGGGCGTAAGGTAAATAAAGGTGACGCGAGAGATTGCGAGGTAAGGGGGGGAGGGAGGGGGGTGTGATGTACGAGCCCCTGAAAACCCTGACTTATACAGATAACTTTCTAAATTTATATGAATAACTAAGGCTTACATAGACGATTTTTGTAAGTTGAAAACATGTAAGACATGTCCGTAGAGTTCTCCTGGAAATGCTGTGACACAAACACGATTTTTTCTAAAACTTTTCTTTAAGATTTTCCTACTTATTTTCATCGTAAGAAATTTTTAACAAACTTCTAAGATCTCAGAAATTATTTTTCTCATAAGAAATCCTTACTTCTAAAATCTGTGACTGTCCAAATTCGCCTGAAAAACCCTGGATCACAAACAAGAATTTCTAAATTCACCTGAAAACCATGGCTCCACACAGAGGAATCCTGAAAACCATGGCTCCACACAGAGGAATCCTGAAAACCCTGGCCCGCACAGAGGAATTTTCTCCCAGAAAAAAAAATTCCTCTGTGTGGAGCCATCCCTACTACTGGTGTGGACCCTGCAGCTGTTGGTGTGGACCCTGCAGGTGTTGGTGTGGACCCTGCAGCTGTTGGTGTGGACCCTGCAGGTGTTGTTGTGCACCCTGCAGGTGTTGGAGTGGACCCTGCAGGTGTTGGTGTGGACCCTGCAGGTATTGGAGTGGACCCTGCAGGTGTTGGTGTGGACCCTGCAGGTGTTGGTGTGGACCCTGCAGGTGTTGGTGTGGACCCTGCAGGTGTTTTGTACCGTAAATTTGTTGATGTGGTCCCTTTACCTGTTGTTTTGGAACTTGCAGGTGTTGATGTGAACCTTATTGAAGTAGCTGCGAGCCCCACAGGAATTGTGAGCACTGCAGGTGTTTCTAGAGATTTTGTAGGTGTTATTGTCCCTGCAGGTGTTGTTCTAAGCCATTAATGTGGTGTTTTGGTCCTTGAAGGTGTTGTTGTGAACTCTGCAGTTGTTGCTGTACAACCTTCAGGTGTTGTTGTGGACTCTGCAGGTGTTGCTGTACAACCTTCAGGTGTTGGTGTGTACTCTGCAGTTGTTACTGTACAACCTTCAGGTGTTGTTGTGGACTCTGCAGTTGTTGCTGTACAACCTTCAGGTGTTGTTGTGGACTCTGCAGGTGTTGCTGTACAACCTTCAGGTGTTGTTGTGGACTCTGCAGGTGTTGCTGTATAACCTTCAGGTGTTGGTGTGGACTCTGCAGTTGTTACTGTACAACCTTCAGGTGTTGGTGTGGACTCTGCAGGTGTTGCTGTACAACCTTCAGGTGTTGGTGTGGACTCTGCAGTTGTTACTGTACAACCTTCAGGTGTTGTTGTGGACTCTGCAGGTGTTACTGTACAACCTTCAGGTGTTGTTGTGGACTCTGCAGTTGTTACTGTACAACCTTCAGGTGTTGTTGTGGACTCTGCAGGTGTTGCTGTATAACCATCAGGTGTTGTTGTGGACTCTGCAGGTGTTGCTGTACAACCTTCAGGTGTTGTTGTGGACTCTGCAGTTGTTACTGTACAACCTTCAGGTGTTGTTGTGGACTCTGCAGGTGTTGCTGTATAACCTTCAGGTGTTGTTGTGGACTCTGCAGGTGTTACTGTACAACCTTCAGGTGTTGTTGTGGACTCTGCAGGTGTTACTGTACAACCTTCAGGTGTTGTTGTGGACTCTGCAGTTGTTACTGTACAACCTTCAGGTGTTGTTGTGGACTCTGCAGTTGTTACTGTATAACCTTCAGGTGTTGTTGTGGACTCTGCAGTTGTTACTGTATAACCTTCAGGTGTTGTTGTGGACTCTGCAGTTGTTGCTGTATAACCTTCAGGTGTTGCTGTATAACCTTCAGGTGTTGTTGTGGACTCTGCAGGTGTTGCTGTATAACCTTCAGGTGTTGCTGTATAACCTTCAGGTGTTGTTGTGGACTCTGCAGTTGTTACTGTATAACCTTCAGGTGTTGTTGTGGACTCTGCAGTTGTTGCTGTATAACCTTCAGGTGTTGCTGTATAACCTTCAGGTGTTGTCGTGAACTTTCCAGTTGTTCATGTGGATCCTGCGGATGTGGATCAAGTTGTTATGGGCTCCTGCAGGTGTTTTTGTGTACTCTGCTGGTGTTGGTCGGGCCCCTACAGGTGTTTTGTGTACTCTGCTGGTGTTGGTCGGGCCCCTACAGGTGTTTTGTGTACTCTGCTGGTGTTGGTCGGGCCCCTACAGGTGTTTTGTGTACTCTGCTGGTGTTGGTCGGGCCCCTACAGGTGTTTTGTGTACTCTGCTGGTGTTGGTCGGGCCCCTACAGGTGTTTTGTGTACTCTGCTGGTGTTGGTCGGGCCCCTACAGGTGTTTTGTGTACTCTGCTGGTGTTGGTCGGGCCCCTACAGGTGTTTTGTGTACTCTGCTGGTGTTGGTCGGGCCCCTACAGGTGTTTTGTGTACTCTGCTGGTGTTGGTCGGGCCCCTACAGGTGTTTGTGTGCACACAAGGTGAGTGACGCAGGTCAGAGGGCGGGGAACCACCACACAAGGTGAGTGACGCAGGTCAGAGGGCGGGGCACCACCACACAAGGTGAGTGACGCAGGTCAGAGGGCGGGACACCACCACACAAGGTGAGTGACACAGGTCAGAGGGCGGGACACCACCACACAAGGTGAGTGACGCAGGTCAGAGGGCGGGGAACCACCACACAAGGTGAGTGACGCAGGTCAGAGGGCGGGGCACCACCACACAAGGTGAGTGACACAGGTCAGAGGGCGGGACACCACCACACAAGGTGAGTGACGCAGGTCAGAGGGCGGGGAACCACCACACAAGGTGAGTGACGCAGGTCAGAGGGCGGGACACCACCACACAAGGTGAGTGACGCAGGTCAGAGGGCGGGGAACCACCACACAAGGTGAGTGACGCAGGTCAGAGGGCGGGACACCACCACACAAGGTGAGTGACGCAGGTCAGAGGGCGGGACACCACCACACAAGGTGAGTGACGCAGGTCAGAAGGCGGGGAACCACCACACAAGGTGAGTGACGCAGGTCAGAGGGCGGGACACCACCACACAAGGTGAGTGACGCAGGTCAGAGGGCGGGGAACCACCACACAAGGTGAGTGACGCAGGTCAGAGGGCGGGGCACCACCACACAAGGTGAGTGACGCAGGTCAGAGGGCGGGACACCACCATACAAGGTGAGTGACGCAGGTCAGAGGGCGGGGAACCATCACACAAGGTGAGTGACACAGGTCAGAGGGCGGGGCACCACCACACAAGGTGAGTGACGCAGGTCAGAGGGCGGGGAACCACCACACAAGGTGAGTGACGCAGGTCAGAGGGCGGGACACCACCACACAAGGTGAGTGACGCAGGTCAGAGGGCGGGGCACCACCACACAAGGTGAGTGACGCAGGTCAGAGGGCGGGGCACCACCACACAAGGTGAGTGACACAGGTCAGAGGGCGGGGCACCACCACAGTCAGCCTTGAGGTGGTGACCCCACAGGCGGGGCGGAGGTCAGAGGAGGCACGAGGTCACTGTATGAGTGTAAGGTATATTCCTTCACTTGCGTTGGTCTCCACGTGTAGGCCTCCCTGGCCTGCTGCAGTGTGTCCAGCCTGTGGAGGGAGACTCCTGCTACTGTGGCCTCCCTGGCCTGCTGCAGTGTGACCAGCCTGTGGAGGGAGACTCCTGCTACTGTGGCCTCCCTTGCCTGCTGCAGTGTGTCCAGCCTGTGGAGGGAGACTCCTGCTACTGTGGCCTCCCTGGCCTGCTGCAGTGTGACCAGCCTGTGGAGGGAGACTCCTGCTACTGTGGCCTCCCTGGCCTGCTGCAGTGTGACCAGCCTGTGGACGGAGACTCCTGCTACTGTGGCCTCCCTGGTCTGCTGCAGTGTGACCAGCCTGTGGACGGAGACTCCTGCTACTGTGGCCTCCCTGGCCTGCTGCAGTGTGACCAGCCTGTGGACGGAGACTCCTGCTACTGTGGCCTCCCTGGCCTGCTGCAGTGTGACCAGCCTGTGGAGGGAGACTCCTGCTACTGTGGCCTCCCTGGCCTGCTGCAGTGTGTCCAGCCTGTGGACGGAGACTCCTGCTACTGTGGCCTCCCTGGCCTGCTGCAGTGTGACCAGCCTGTGGACGGAGACTCCTGCTACTGTGGCCTCCCTGGCCTGCTGCAGTGTGACCAGCCTGTGGACGGAGACTCCTGCTACTGTGGCCTCCCTGGCCTGCTGCAGTGTGACCAGCCTGTGGACGGAGACTCCTGCTACTGTGGCCTCCCTGGCCTGCTGCAGTGTGACCAGCCTGTGGACGGAGACTCCTGCTACTGTGGCCTCCCTGGCCTGCTGCAGTGTGACCAGCCTGTGGAGGGAGACTCCTGCTACTGTGGCCTCCCTGGCCTGCTGCAGTGTGTCCAGCCTGTGGACGGAGACTCTTGCTACTGTGGCCTCCCTGGCCTGCTGCAGTGTGACCAGCCTGTGGACGGAGACTCCTGCTACTGTGGAGTTATGAGTCGTGTAAAGTCTTGTCGTACACTCACTTGTTGTCGCTGGTCGGTTATTATGGTCACTTTTAACATGACTCCTCGTTAATGAGTGGTCACACTACCCAAACACTCCATTGTTCAGGCAATGAGTGCCAACCCCAGCCCTGTCAAGTGCCAACCCAACCATGTCAAGTGCCAACTCATATCCCTGTCAAGTGCCAGCCCATCTCCGTCAAGTTACAACCCATTCCTGTCAAGCGCCAACACATCCCTTGACAGCTGGACCTCACAAGATGTTGGCTGGGTGTCAAGGCCTGACAGCTGGACAAGGCCTGACAGCTGGACAAGGCCTGACAGCTGGACCTTACAAGATGTTGGCTGGGTGTCAAGGCCTGACAGCTGGACCTCACAAGATGTTGGCTGGGTGTCAAGGCCTGACAGCTGGACCTCACAAGGTGTTGGGCGGGTGTCAAGGCCTGACAGCTGGACCTCACAAGGTGTTGGGCGGGTGTCAAGGCCTGACAGCTGGACCTCACAAGGTGTTGGGCGGGTGTCAAGGCCTGACAACTGGACCTCACAAGGTGTTGGGCGGGTGTCAAGGCCTGACAGCTGGACCTCACAAGGTGTTGGGCGGGTGTCAAGGCCTGACAGCTGGACCTCACAAGGTGTTGGGCGGGTGTCAAGGCCTGACAGCTGGACCTCACAAGGTGTTGGGCGGGTGTCAAGGTCTGAAAGCTGGACCTCACAAGGTGTTGGGCGGGTGTCAAGGCTTGACAGCTGGACCTCACAAGGAGGAGCTCAACTAAACTTGAGGAAAGCTAACCTAACCTACCCTAACCTAACCTAACCTAACCTACCCTAACCTACACTCAGAAATCACAATAGCGTGATGCATCAATGAACAAATCCACAAGGGCCGTGACGAGGATTCTAACCTACGTCCGGGATCATCCCAGACGCTGCCTTAATCGACTGCGCTACGACATGGTCAAAAGAGTTGAAACCAGTTGTTGTACCTAACTTATTTGGATCCTGCAGCCTCTCCGAGACACAAACCAGGGTTTTACCCAACTCCCCCTTGCACTCCCAAGAATGCATGGGGTTTGCACTCAGGGTTGCACTCAGCATACCAGGGTAAAACCTTGGTTTGTGTCTCGGAGAGGCTGCAGATCCAAATAAGTTAGGTACAGCTTCTGGTTTCAACTCTTTTGACCATGTCGTAGCTCAGTCGATTAAGGCAGCGTCTGGGATTATCTCGGACGTAGGTTCGAATCCTCGTCACGGCCCTTGTGGATTTGTTTCTACCCTAACCTAACCAACCCAAACCAACCCTAACCTCAGATATCTGTGTTACAGAGGGGTGGAGGTGGAGAGGAGGGGGTGGAGGGGGCAGGAGTATGGAGGGAGGCGTCATGGCGACCCTCCTCCACCCACACAACACCACCACCGTGTCCTCCACCCAGGGGCTCCACCTGGTCGTCTTACACCCACATACTGCCAGGTTAGTGCCGCCATGTTGGCCCCGTATGTCAGGATGCCATAGTGGCCACCATGTTGGGCCCGTATGCCAGGATGCCATAGTGGCCGCCATGTTGGACCCGTATGCCAGGGTGCCATAGTGGCCGCCATGTTGGGCCCGTATGCCAGGGTGCCATAGTGGCCGCCATGTTGGGCCCGTATGCCAGGGTGCCATAGTGGCCGCCATGTTGGGCCCGTATGTCAGGGTGCCATAGTGGCCGCCATGTTGGGCCCGTATATCAGGATGCCATAGTGGCCGCCATGTTGGGCCCGTATGTCAGGATGCCAAAGTGGCCGAAATGTTGGGCCCGTATGCCAGGATGCCATAGTGGCCGCCATGTTGGGCCCGTATGTCAGGGTGCCATAGTGGCCGCCATGTTGGGCCCGTATGTCAGGATGCCATAGTGGCCGCCATGTTGGGCCCGTATGTCAGGATGCCATAGTGGCCGCCATGTTGGGCCCGTATGTCAGGATGCCATAGTGGCCGCCATGTTGGGCCCGTATGTCAGGATGCCATAGTGGCCGCCATGTTGGGCCCGTATGTCAGGGTGCCATAGTGGCCGCCATGTTGGGCCCGTATGTCAGGATGCCATAGTGGCCGCCATGTTGGGCCCGTATGTCAGGGTGCCATAGTGGCCGCCATGTTGGGCCCGTATGCCATGGTGCCATTACTGATCCGTTCTCAGTAAACATGTTCCCTGAGGCTCCTGGGCTTGTTGTGCTGTGTCATGTTCACAGCCTGCTCCTGGGCTTGGGGTGCTGTGTCATGTTCACAGCCTGCTCCTGGGCTTGGGGTGCTGTGTCATGTTCACTGGCTGCTCCTGGGCTTGGGGTGCTGTGTCATGTTCACAGCCTGCTCCTGGGCTTGGGGTGCTGTGTCATGTTCACAGGCTGCTCCTGGGCTTGGGGTGCTGTGTCATGTTCACAGGCTGCTCCTGGGCTTGGGGTGCTGTGTCATGTTCACAGGCTGCTCCTGGCCTTGGTGTGCTGTATCATGTTCACAGCCTGCTCCTGGGCTTGGTGTGCTGTGTCATGTTCACAGGCTGCTCCTGGGCTTGGGGTGCTGTGTCATGTTCACAGGCTGCTCCTGGCCTTGGTGTGCTGTGTCATGTTCACAGGCTGCTCCTGGGCTTGGGGTGCTGTGTCATGTTCACAGGCTGCTCCACTCGTCTCCTTGGTCATATTTACTCCTTCCTCGCTCTGTTGTGACTTGTTACTCTCTTATTCTGTGACCTCTCTGTTTCTGCCTTCTTTATATGTATTATGACACCAGGCAATGTCCCTCAACACATGGCCTTGAATGAACGAACAAATCAGTGAATGAATGAACATTGAATGAATCAATGAATCAATGAACAATGAATGAATCAATCAACGAATGTCTATGCTTCCTTGCTTGAATGTGAATGAGAGCAAAGAATGCTGCATAGGATGCTTAGGGACCACACAGGAATGTGTGGTCCCTGGCAGGGAGTAGTGTGGTCCCTGGCAGGGAGTAATGTGGTCCCTGGCAGGGAGCAGTGTGGTCCCTGGCAGGGAGTAGTGTGGTCCCTGGCAGGGAGTAGTGTGGTTCCTGGCAGGGAGTAATGTGGTCCCTGGCAGGGAGCAGTGTGGTCCCTGGCAGGGGCCAGTGCTACACTAACACAGCAGGTCCCTGGCAGGGGCCAGTGCAGCACTAACACAGCAGGTCCCTGGCAGGGGCCAGTGCTACACTAACACAGTGTGGTCCCTGGCAGGGGCCAGTGCAGCACTAACACAGCAGGTCCCTGGCAGGGGCCAGTGCTACACTAACACAGCCGGTCCCTGTCAGGGGCCAGTGCTACACTAACACAACAGATCGCTGGCAGGGGCCAGTGCTACACTAACACAGTGTGGTCCCTGGCAGGGGCCAGTGCTACACTAACACAGTGTGGTCCCTGGCAGGGGCCAGTGCTACACTAACACAGTGTGGTCCCTGGCAGGGGCCAGTGCTCCACTAACACAGTGTGGTCCCTGGCAGGGGCCAGTGCTACACTAACACAGTGTGGTCCCTGGCAGGGGCCAGTGCTCCACTAACACAGTGTGGTCCCTGGCAGGGGCCAGTGCTACACTAACACAGTGTGGTTCCTGGCAGGGGCCAGTGCTCCACTAACACAGTGTGGTCCCTGGCAGGGGCCAGTGCTACACTAACACAGTGTGGTCCCTGGCAGGGGCCAGTGCTACACTAACACAGCAGGTCCCTGGCAGGGGCCAGTGCTACACTAACACAGTGTGGTCCCTGGCAGGGGCCAGTGCTACACTAACACAGTGTGGTCCCTGGCAGGGACCAGTGCTACACTAACACAGTGTGGTCCCTGGCAGGGGCCAGTGCTACACTAACACAGTGTGGTCCCTGGCAGGGGCCAGTGCTACACTAACACAGTGTGGTCCCTGGCAGGGGCCAGTGCTATACTAACACAGTGTGGTCCCTGGCAGGGACCAGTGCTACACTAACACAGTGTGGTCCCTGGCAGGGACCAGTGCTACACTAACACAGTGTGGTCCCTGGCAGGGGCCAGTGCTACACTAACACAGTGTGGTCCCTGGCAGGGGCCAGTGCTACACTAACACAGTGTGGTCCCTGGCAGGGACCAGTGCTACACTAACACAGTGTGGTCCCTGGCAGGGACCAGTGCTCCACTAACACAGTGTGGTCCCTGGCAGGGGCCAGTGCTCCACTAACACAGTGTGGTCCCTGGCAGGGACCAGTGCTACACTAACACAATGTGGTCCCTGGCAGGGACCAGTGCTACACTAACACAGTGTGGTCCCTGGCAGGGACCAGTGCTACACTAACACAGTGTGGTCCCTGGCAGGGGCCAGTGCTACACTAACACAGTGTGGTCCCTGGCAGGGACCAGTGCTCCACTAACACAGTGTGGTCCCTGGCAGGGACCAGTGCTACACTAACACAGTGTGGTCCCTGGCAGGGACCAGTGCTACACTAACACAGTGTGGTCCCTGGCAGGGGCCAGTGCTACACTAACACAGTGTATTCCCTGGCAGGGATCAGTGCTACACTAACACAGTGTGGTCCCTGGCAGGGGCCAGTGCTACACTAACACAGTGTGGTCCCTGGCAGGGATCAGTGCTACACTAACACAGTGTGGTCCCTGGCAGGGACCAGTGCTACACTAACACAGTGTGGTCCCTGGCAGGGACCAGTGCTACACTAACACAGTGTGGTCCCTGGCAGGGACCAGTGCTACACTAACACAGCAGGTCTCTGGCAGGGGCCAGTGCTACACTAACACAGCAGGTCCCTGGCAGGGGCCAGTGCTACACTAACAAAGCAGGTCCCTGGCAGGGGCCAGTGCTACACTAACACAGTGTGGTCCCTGGCAGGGGCCAGTGCTACACTAACACAGCAGGTCCCTGGCAGGGGCCAGTGCTACACTAACACAGTGTGGTCCCTGGCAGGGGCCAGTGCTACACTAACACAGTGTGGTCCCTGGCAGGGGCCAGTGCTACACTAACACAGTGTGGTCCCTGGCAGGGGCCAGTGCTACACTAACACAGTGTGGTCCCTGGCAGGGGCCAGTGCTACACTAACACAGTGTGGTCCCTGGCAGGGGCCAGTGCTACACTAACACAGTGTGGTCCCTGGCAGGGGCCAGTGCTACACTAACACAGTGTGGTCCCTGGCAGGGACCAGTGCTACACTAACACAGTGTGGTCCCTGGCAGGGGCCAGTGCTACACTAACACAGTGTGGTCCCTGGCAGGGGCCAGTGCTACACTAACACAGTGTGGTCCCTGGCAGGGATCAGTGCTACACTAACACAGTGTGGTCCCTGGCAGGGACCAGTGCTCCACTAACACAGTGTGGTCCCTGGCAGGGGCCAGTGCTACACTAACACAGTGTGGTCCCTGGCAGGGGCCAGTGCTACACTAACACAGTGTGGTCCCTGGCAGGGGCCAGTGCTACACTAACACAGCAGGTCCCTGGCAGGGGCCAGTGCTACACTAACACAGTGTGGTCCCTGGCAGGGGCCAGTGCTACACTAACACAGTGTGGTCCCTGGCAGGGGCCAGTGCTACACTAACACAGTGTGGTCCCTGGCAGGGGCCAGTGCTACACTAACACAGCAGGTCCCTGGCAGGGGCCAGTGCTACCCTAACACAGTGTGGTCCCTGGCAGGGGCCAGTGCTACACTAACACAGTGTGGTCCCTGGCAGGGGCCAGTGCTACACTAACACAGCAGGTCCCTGGCAGGGACCAGTGCTACACTAACACAGCAGGTCCCTGGCAGGGGCCAGTGCTACACTAACACAGTGTGGTCCCTGGCAGGGACCAGTGCTACACTAACACAGTGTGGTCCCTGGCAGGGGCCAGTGCTACACTAACACAGTGTGGTCCCTGGCCGGGGCCAGTGCTACACTAACACAGTGTGGTCCCTGGCAGGGGCCAGTGCTACACTAACACAGCAGGTCCCTGGCAGGGGCCAGTGCTACACTAACACAGTGTGGTCCCTGGCAGGGGCCAGTGCTACACTAACACAGTGTGGTCCCTGGCAGGGGCCAGTGCTACACTAACACAGTGTGGTCCCAGGCAGGGGCCAGTGCTACACTAACACAGCAGGTCCCTGGCAGGGGCCAGTGCTACACTAACACAGTGTGGTCCCTGGCAGGGGCCAGTGCTACACTAACACAGTGTGGTCCCTGGCAGGGGCCAGTGCTACACTAACACAGCAGGTCCCTGGCAGGGGCCAGTGCTACACTAACACAGTGTGGTCCCAGGCAGGGGCCAGTGCTACACTAACACAGTGTGGTCCCTGGCAGGGGCCAGTGCTACACTAACACAGCAGGTCCCTGGCAGGGGCCAGTGCTACACTAACACAGTGTGGTCCCTGGCAGGGGCCAGTGCTACACTAACACAGCAGGTCCCTGGCAGGGGCCAGTGCTACACTAACACAGCAGGTCCCTGGCAGGGGCCAGTGCTACACTAACACAGTGTGGTCCCTGGCAGGGGCCAGTGCT